CCACAGACCTCCTCCATCCCACAGACCACCTCCATCCCACAGACCACCTCCATCCCACAGACCACCTCCATCCCACAGACCACCTCCATCCCACAGACCATCTCCATCCCACAGACCACCTCCAACCCACAGACCACCTCCATCCCACAGACCACCTCCATCCCACAGACCACCTCCATCCCACAGACCACCTCCAACCCACAGACCACCTCCATCCCACAGACCACCTCCATCCCACAGACCATCTCCATCCCACAGACCACCTCCAACCCACAGACCACCTCCATCCCACAGACCACCTCCATCCCACAGACCACCTCCATCCCACAGACCACCTCCAACCCACAGACCTCCTCCATCCCACAGACCACCTCCATCCCACAGACCACCTCCATCCCACAGACCACCTCCAACCCACAGACCTCCTCCATCCCACAGACCACCTCCATCCCACAGACTACCTCCAATCCACAGACCACCTCCATCCCACAGACCACCTCCATCCCACAGACCACCTCCATCCCACAGACCACCTCCAACCTACAGACCACCTCCATCCCACAGACTACCTCCAATCCACAGACCACCTCCATCCCACAGACCACCTCCATCCCACAGACCTCCTCCATCCCACAGACCGCCTCCATCCCACAGACCGCCTCCATCCCACAGACAGCCTCCATCCCACAGACCACCTCCATCCCACAGACCACCTCCATCCCACAGACCACCTCCAACCTACAGACCTCCTCCATCCCACAGACCACCTCCAACCTACAGACCACCTCCATCCCACAGACCACCTCCATCCCACAGACCACCTCCATCCCACAGACCACCTCCAACCTACAGACCTCCTCCATCCCACAGACCACCTCCAACCTACAGACCTCCTCCATCCCACAGACCACCTCCATCCCACAGACCACCTCCATCCCACAGACCACCTCCATCCCACAGACCACCTCCATCCCACAGACCACCTCCAACCTACAGACCACCTCCATCCCACAGACCACCTCCATCCCACAGACCACCTCCATCCCACAGACCACCTCCAACCTACAGACCACCTCCAACCTACAGACCACCTCCAACCTACAGACCACCTCCATCCCACAGACCTCCTCCATCCCCCAGACCTCCAAAGACACCTCCATCCCCACAGGACCACTCCATCCCTACAGACCACCTCCTAACCTTACAGACCACCTCCTTCCTCACAGACCACCTCCATCCCACAGACCACCTCCATCCCACAGGAACACCACATTCCCACAGAACCTCCTCATCCCACAGACCACCTCCCATCTCCACAGGACCACCTACAGGACAAGGGCAGCTATCATCCTGCTTTGCTGTTGGTCTATCGGTGCAGATGTTTGGGTATCTATTTGTGCTTGTGTGCACCTGGACAGAGGCTGGATGGTGGTAAAGAGAAGTGATTGAGAATCCAGTAAGGCTTTTCTTCTTAAGAACGCCACAAACTGAATCGCTTGAGGTTTGCCAAAAGCACATTTTGACAAACCAGCTTTATTTTAGAATAAGGTCCTGTGGACTGATCTGGAAACAAAAAGACCTGAGTTGTTTGTCATAAAAAATAAGGTGTTCTACATAGGTGTCGGTTATCAGAAAACCCTGTATGCTACTCGCTGTAGACATTATTAGTGGCGAGGTGGTTCATTCATGCTTTGGGGGCGGTTGTGCTGCTGCGTTGCCCCCCCATTTGCTGGCACGCTGGGGGACATCGTGGGTAAAATGTGATTGCCGCGCATGGAATTCCAAATCAATATCAGCAGAGTCCTTAAAGATATATGTTGCCAAGAATCTCAGTAGGAGTAGAATAGGTTAGTTTTCTGAGTGCGACTGGAATTATTGTTCAGCAAGGGAGTTTGCGCAATGATCAAACAGGTAGATCTAAGCTCACATCTAGCTCAGTGGTCTTTCATTGCATGTAGGTGGGTTCTGGGATTTGCGGTCTTTACCGCTGTGCGGGTTCCTTCGTCCCTATTCCACAGGAGCGCCTGTGGGATTGATGAGATGTATAGTGAGAGCAGGACTGTACCCGCAGAGGTGCTTTTTCACGGCACGCAATAGGTAAGACTAACTGGAACTGGATAGTTAGGCTTTTCAAGTAATAGAAGGGTACCGCTAAACTGCCTTCATCCTATTGGGATACTCAGTGAACTCGTTCAAAGCTACAGGAAGCCACTAGAGGCTGTTGTTTTTGCAATAAGAGGTTCTACTAAATATTAATGTCTGTTTTTTGCTAAGGTGCTAACATTTTTGCACCTGTCAAATTTAGTTTTAATGAGTACTACACATTTTCTGTTGGTCCATTAAACCTCAATTCAATGCTGAAATATTCAGTATTGATCCATCAGTCATCAGATATATCAAACTGAAATAGCTGCTGGAAACACCCAAATATTTAGAAATAGGGATGCACAAACTTTTTCATATGACTGTACCATCTGCCATTGTTGATCTAAGGTGGCAGTGGGCGCTGGTGGTGTTTTCTCCGGGGGGGGGGTATTAGTCAACTTTAGATTTTAATATATAAAACTATTTATTTTCTATTTAATTTTCAGAATCTGCTTATTTAATAGCAACTATGCAAATTAAACATAATAAAATAGACTATATTCTATTATTTTCCATGTGAATCCCAGGTTGTTCATTCTTCTTTGCCTTTTCTACAAAGTGCTTTAAATCAGTCCCAGCTGAAAAAGGAGGCAGGGAGGCAGTATAAAGCCTTAGCCTCGCTGCGTGCAGTTAGCCTCGCTGAGTGCAGTTAGCCTCGCTGCGTGCAGTTAGCCTCGCTGCACGCAGTTAGCCTCGCTGCATGCAGTTAGCCTAGCTGCTCGCAGTTAGCCTAGTTGCACGCAGTTAGCCTCGCTGCATGCAGTTAGCCTAGCTGCATGCAGTTAGCCTAGCTGCACGCAGTTAGCCTAGCTGCACGCAGTTAGCCTCGCTGCACGCAGTTAGCCTAGCTGCATGCATTTAGCCTCGCTGCACGCAGTTAGCCTGGCTGCACGCAGTTAGCCTAGTTGCAAGCAGTTAGCCTCGCTGCATGCAGTTAGCCTCGTTGCACGCAGTTAGCGAGCTGGCTAGCCTTGCTGCATGCAGTTAGCCTCGCTGCACGCAGTTAGCCTCGCTGCATGCAGTTAGCCTAGCTGCAAGCAGTTAGCTTAGCTGGCTGCAGTTAGCCTAGCAGCAAGCAGTTAGCCACGCTGCATGCAGTTAGCCTCGCTGCACAGTTAGCCTAGCTGCAAGCAGTTAGGCACACTGCAAGCAGTTAGCCTAGCTGCATGCAGTTAGCCTCGCTATATGCAGTTAGCCTAGCTGCAAGCAGTTAGCCTCGCTGCGAGCAGTTAGCCTAGCTGCATGCAGTTAGCCTCGCTGCATGCAGTTAGCCTAGCCTTGGAGCTAAACCAGGTCTTGGAAAAGGACATTTCTTGCACCATTTTTCTGCGCTAACTGGGAGTGAGAAAGGCGCTAACTGGGAGTGAGAAAGGCGCTAACTGGGAGTGAGAAAGGAGCTAACTGGGAGTGAGAAAGAAGCTAACTGGGAGTGAGAAAGGAGCTAACTGGGAGTGAGAAAGGAGCTAACTGGGAGTGAGAAAGGAGCTAACTGGGAGTGAGAAAGGAGCTAACTGGGAGTGAGAAAGAAGCTAACTGGGAGTGAGAAAGGAGCTAACTGGGAGTGAGAAAGGAGCTAACTGGGAGTGAGAAAGGAGCTAACTGGGAGTGAGAAAGAAGCTAACTGGGAGTGAGAAAGGAGCTAACTGGGAGAGAGAAAGGAGCTAACTGGGAGTGAGAAAGGAGCTAACTGGGAGTGAGAATGGAGCTAACTGGGAGAGAGAAAGGAGCTAACTGGGAGAGAGAAAGGCGCTAACTGGGAGTGAGAAAGAAGCTAACTGGGAGTGAGAAAGGCGCTAACTGGGAGTGAGAAAGAAGCTAACTGGGAGTGAGAAAGGAGCTAACTGGGAGAGAGAAAGGAGCTAACTGGGAGTGAGAATGGAGCTAACTGGGAGTGAGAAAGGAGCTAACTGGGAGAGAGAAAGGAGCTAACTGGGAGGGAGAAAGGAGCTAACTGGGAGTGAGAATGGAGCTAACTGGGAGTGAGAAAGGAGCTAACTGGGAGAGAGAAAGGAGCTAACTGGGAGTGAGAAAGGAGCTAACTGGGAGTGAGAAAGAAGCTAACTGGGAGTGAGAAAGGAGCTAACTGGGAGAGAGAAAGGAGCTAACTGGGAGTGAGAAAGGAGCTAACTGGGAGTGAGAAAGGAGCTAACTGGGAGTGAGAAAGGAGCTAACTGGGAGTGAGAAAGGAGCTAACTGGGAGTGAGAAAGGAGCTAACTGGGAGAGAGAAAGGAGCTAACTGGGAGTGAGAAAGGAGCTAACTGGGAGTGAGAAAGGAGCTAACTGGGAGTGAGAAAGGAGCTAACTGGGAGAGAGAAAGGAGCTAACTGGGAGTGAGAAAGGAGCTAACTGGGAGTGAGAAAGGAGCTAACTGGGAGAGAGAAAGGAGCTAACTGGGAGTGAGAAAGGAGCTAACTGGGAGTGAGAAAGGAGCTAACTGGGAGAGAGAAAGGAGCTAACTGGGAGTGAGAAAGGAGCTAACTGGGAGTGAGAAAGGAGCTAACTGGGAGTGAGAAAGGAGCTAACTGGGAGAGAGAAAGGAGCTAAGTGGGAGTGAGAAAGGAGCTAACTGGGAGTGAGAAAGGAGCTAACTGGGAGTGAGAAAGGAGCTAACTGGGAGAGAGAAAGGAGCTAACTGGGAGTGAGAAAGGAGCTAACTGGGAGTGAGAATGGAGCTAACTGGGAGTGAGAAAGGAGCTAACTGGGAGAGAGAAAGGAGCTAAGTGGGAGTGAGAAAGGAGCTAACTGGGAGTGAGAAAGGAGCTAACTGGGAGAGAGAAAGGAGCTAACTGGGAGTGAGAAAGGAGCTAACTGGGAGTGAGAAAGGAGCTAACTGGGAGAGAGAAAGACACCAAGACTTGTTTGGAGGAAAATCTTTAATAGATATGAAGCTGTGGAGCAAAATGTCTGCAGACAGAAGCAACCGACTGTCAGGAATCCGTTGACATTCAGCTGAGGGGAAATGATGAGGAACAGGAAATGATATGGGGAACATGCAAAGACCCGCCCCCTCAGTATCTGTAGGACAGAGAAGGCTGCCCCATCCTCACAGGGGGGACAAACAGGCCCCCCAGCAGCAACCTCTCCCCCCACTCCAGCAGCTTGTTCAGGGAGAGGCTGAATGGGGACAGCGGGCCCCGCACCTTCACTGGGCTTTGGCTATGGCAGGGGCCCCTGAGCACCTCCTCTGGCTGCGGGGCCCCTGCAGACTGAGGACTGCTGCTGGCCAGAGGGGGGGTGCAGGTCCCCAGGGGCCTCAAAGAGAGGGAGAGGCTTTTCCGTCTCTCTAGGAGGGAAGCAGTACCTAATGGGAATTGTAGACATGTGCTCTGGGCCTCATGAGGGCCCCTGCTGCACTGGTGGTTCTGATCCAGAGTCTGTGGCCCCTGCTGCTTCCCACTGTCATGGAGTAGTGAGCATCTGGACTGTGAGGGGTCCGCAGAGACGGACTGACTCAGATAGTTCTGGTTCTGACTGCACAAAGACCTGCTGACTGTCTCATCCGCCGAGGGCCCCTGGTTCTCCTGCTGCCGCGCCATCGGGTCGCCGCCGGGGCCCTTCTGGTTGAGGGTGCTTTGGAAGAGCTGCAGCTGTCCCAGGAAGTTGAAGTTTGGGGAAATGGTGGGTCGGCGCTCTTTGACAAACCTTATAAGGAAACAGAGAGGAAGTGGGTCAGAGCTGCTAGTGGACCGCATTTCACACATGATGAGTCATTTCTGCTCCGCAACAACAGCAGGGCGAGAATGAAAGAGACAGAACCAGGAGCCCTGCAGCGGCTCCGGGGCCCACACGGGTCCAACACTTACTAGCATCAAAGCTTTACATTTAGCTTAAATGCAGGAATGGAGGACAGAAAGGGGACAGGACAGAAACAGGCAGCTCAGATGGAGGATGAAGACAACTTCAGAGACAGTCTGAGCAACATGGAGGTCATCTGGAGCGATCTTCCTCTGCTCTTGTTGCAGTGTTCATGAACCTCTGAAGATCCTCCAATATGGCCACCAAACATCAGGCCTCGGAGCTGCTTTCCTAAAGGCTGGCACCAGTAGAAACCCCCGGGTCCAGGGTTCTATTTAATTGATCGGTCTGAAGAAGCAGGGTTAGGTCAGCTCCTGATTAAAAGCTCCACTGGATCAGAGGTTCTGTAGATGTCTGATCCAGTGGAGCAACAAGGAGGCCTCCATCCCCCATTTATGGCTCCAGATGTCCTGAGTCAGGACCAGACATCTGCTCCTGTCCACAAAGACACTGGACACACTGGGAACCAGAACCTTCTGGGTTCTGTTCCTCCTAAAGACTCACTCAGAACCAGCATGATGCTACCAGGAGGAAGGTGAGAGCGACGCACCTGTAGGCGTGGTCCAGGTCCATCTCCAGGCGGTACATAACGTAGGCCACAGCCAGAGCCGGGGAGCGGGAGATTCCTGCGGCCCGGGCCA